GTGGTAGTGTTAGTAATGTGTCGTAGTGGTGGTGGTAATGTGTTGTACTGGTGGTGGTAGTGGTGATAGTGGTGGTAATGTGTCGTACTGGTCGTATTTGTGGTAGTACTGGTAGTGGCATACTATTGCCTATACATGCCTAACAACTTCATACTTATCTTTGTCTTATCTTTTAAATTACAACTTTGAGCATTATACCTATCATCCCCTCTCCATTGTCATCCAGCACTTGCCATAACAACGCTACTCTCGCTTTACTCCAGCCGGGACGCACCTCATGCATCAACTCAATAAACCTTTCTTCCGTCACTTTCCACATGTTGTTGTCCCAGATTTTAAGAACATCAAAAGCCTGCTTTAACTGTCGACGTTTTCTGTACACAGTTTTGCGAATTTCATTCTTCAAAAACAAAGAAAAAAATGACAGTTGTAAGTATCTTATCTTAATACCTCAGTTTCATGTTCTCTTTGCTCAGCCTTAGTCTGGGTTGTGCGTTATAATATTATGCTATACAATGGACCTTAATAAAAGAAAAGAACACATTTGTACACAATCGAGGCTAAGACTGAGCAAAGGCGAACTCGAAATGGGAATATTATATTCCCAGTGGTTAAATAGTCTTACCTTTAGATGTTTTCGGTAATTTTTGTAGACGACAGCCAAGAATATACTGACAAATATGTACATGCATATTACGACAAATACGACAAAGAAGAGCACTGACCAGGCATTGTTGTCGTACGCGGGCATCCTTTACAAGAAAAGAGAAATGAGCAGAGTTAGGAGAGGTGAGAAGGAAATTAAGGCATAGCAGAGTAGAGCAGAGCAGAGCAGAGCAGAGCAGAGCAGAGCAGAGGAGTAAAGAAGAATGACTTACCCTACATCTGGATTATTAGCTGTCGTGGTCAACACATAAAGCGAGAAGTAGACATCAAAATAGCCAGCAAAATATGGTTTTCCATGAATGTCTTTGATTCCCCTAAAAAAAGAGAAATAAAACCAGAGATCACTTTTCTCATCCAACTCCTCCCTTTCCGCCTACAAGGCCCTTACTCAAATTTAAACCAGGCCCTTAACGTTTGCAGCTGGAATAGACCTCTTTGCCGTGGGTATGTTTCTCCTATTTCTACATACCATCTGCTCATGTCATTCTCTGAAGAATGAGATTGTATTGCGTCCATAGTTATTTGCATGTCTTTTCATGCGCAACCGTTAAACAAAGAAATGATACTGTAGGGAATGACACGTGGTCTTCAATGTTAAAACAATACGCTCAAAGGTAAAGATGTCTATGAAGCACCCAATTACTTTTTTCCAAAGAGTTTTACTCCCAGCAAAGAGAAGAGTGCAATCATCAGCAACAATAATATCAGGACGTTGGCAATCTCTGGCAAAGTACGGCGAATATTCCTGACGGCTCGACGAATCTAACGTAGGGGAAATCAAAAGACCGTGAACTTGATAGCTTATGTAAGAGCATATTATGAAATATATATTAAGATATATTATATTGATCTTTTGTAAGAAATGAGTCATGTTTAATTCTGGAAAGTAGACAGTGCACTTTTAGGGAAGCACGAGTAACTGTGGGATTCTAATGCGACGTCTCTCACCGCGGCGTCATGGATTTAATCCAATCCTCAGTGTCGTAGGTGACCAAAGTTGCTTCCTGGTTCTCTCCTGTACTTTGAGAGTTTATCTCCAAGTTCTCATCTATTCATCATCTTTCATCTGTCTAAAACTAATTCTAAAGTGCAATCCTGTCATAGAACGAGGGTCATCTGGTGGCTGGTTCCAAAGTCATATGTGTTACCTTCGCAAAATCAAGGACGATTTTTGTACCCCTCCCCCTCCCCCTCCCCCTCCCAAAGAATGACATCTCCACTCCTGTTAGAGACTGATGAAAACAGCTTCCAACAAGTATCGTCCCTTTGTAGAACTAAAGGTTGATCATGAAGGGAAGGGAGGGGGTGGGGAATGGAGGAAGCAAAACAGTGACTAAAATACAGTGAACGTTTCAACTAAAGCAAGCCTGTGAATTCTTACCTGTCGGCCTTCACTGAGATTGATTAAGAACAGAGGTCTTAATGCTCGTGTCCATCTGATAGAGTGTGCTTTCAAATTTGCCTCTTGGAATATCACATACATAATCATATCTATAAAGGTCATCTGAGGAGAAAGTATGATCATTTTAATTTGTAACCATAGAAACAAAACATGTAATAACATGTGATAACAAGGTCTGAATGCATGGTTTGGCAAAAATTTATTCCTAGAACTAATTGCAAGATTAATGCTCATTCAACTAAAGTGCAGGGAAACAATACTGCCACGTGACCGTTGGTTTTCATATATGCACAAATGCAAGGACCTGATATGGCGCACATCTTTAACTGCATCACATTCAGTCTCCATGAATGCATAAATAAGCATACTTTACATACCCAACTTGCATAACATGCGAAGTTTGCAGGATATGTTTATCTTCAGTAAACATGAGAACAAGTGACCAAAATGGAAAAAGACACAATTTTCAGTGACTTGAGGCTGCTTAAGACTAGTGAGAACTATAAAACATGATATCAGAGCAGAGGGACAAGGTACAGTCATGAACAATAGCAAACACATGCTAGCATAGCCAGCATGCAGCTGGACTTTTCTCTCATACACTTAACACACAGTTATGTTCATATGTATGCAGGCTAATGCTAGTATGTTTTACCAACATGCCTGGTATGACTGTGACCATGACTGTGTCAAGTACTAGCACCTTCATTAAACAGACAGAAATCTTGTGCACTGTGCCTGGCTGCAGACATCATCAGCTCAGCGCTGACTGACCATGTCAAGCTTCGGTTTACTAGAACAACAATCACAGTACCCCTTTCATATCATTCTCACCACAATAATCAGCAGCAAGATTAGGTTCTTCTTGTCTTTCCAAAATTTGACCCCAGCAGCGAAAGACCAGACATGAAAGAGACGCAGTGTAAATACCAGGAGGCAGAAGTATTCCAGAATGAGAGTTGCCTAGAAAAATAAAATTGAAGAAACAGCATCAATAGATTAATGGGGCTTCCTTTTGATCTTATATGCACCTATTTCGAAGAACGTTGTCGCACCAAGAGTCTCAAGTAACAAGCCTAGGGCGCAGAGAATGTCAGTACTTTTAATTATAATCAGATTTATTCATGGTTCATGCAAGTGGCTATAGGTCTACACCAATTATCATCTCAAGCAGCCTTGCTTGGAGCAATTTGTGAAGTCAATATAAATGAAAATGCACCATGAATAAACTAAWTACAGCTAAAAGTACCRGCGTTCTCTGCGGTCTTGGCTTGTTGCTTGAGGCTTTCGTTGCGACGATTTCTGAAATAGGTGCATATGTTGTGAAGATATCTACTAGAACCTTTTAACCTATGAGTTGTATTCATAAGAAGCCCACTTGAGAATGTTTCAAGTAACACAGCAGAATGAGATCATATCACCACAAATTTATTTTGTACTTTGACACAAATGATGAAACCAACTAAAAAAATCATGTGATCCCAAGAAGACACTACCCCCTTAAAACCTTGGCTTCAATCAATCAATTATTTTTTAAACCCTGAAACATCTGGGTTGTTCTTAGGTCACTCTCTCGTAACACAGCTATGTATGTCTATGTATGGGTCTATGTATGTGTTATTGACTAAAAAGGTCTTACTTACCCAGTAAGGCAAAGCAAGTCCTGGTACTGCTGGCTGCTCAAATAATGCCAAAGATAGATCAAGGCAGACAAATAGATAGACAACAAATATGAGGACCGGTTTGTTATAAATCTTGTAACTCCTACATGAGAAATAATGATGCACTGCTATTAGTTTATAACAAGACAATTAAATAATATGTCCATACAGGTGGTATGAGTACTTGTTAATTCAACAAATCATGTTAACCTTAGTTAATGATTAACCTATTATATCCGCCAAAAGCAAGTAAACAATTGCAAGCCTAAGTCAAATACTATATGCAATGTCATTGGCAAGAAATACTTACCGTAGTTCTCTCGGAGAAGTTTGAAAATATCCATTCCCGCCTTTACAAGCTTCTTCCACTAGAATACCAGCTAGCAGTACTTCCTACAAAGTTAGAGAACGGTTATTAAATGAGATAAGCTCCCTAAAGCCTACCACGAGTTAGTGAATAGCTTTGTTAAAATATGTCATAGACTGGTAAATCTCTTAATAAAGGAGGTCAAATGGCCGGGTTATGAGTTGCTCGTGAGTTTAGAAAACTCTAGTACAGAAGCTGCAGCTTTACAGAGAGTTGTTACAAAGCACAGAACGAACTCACCGAGCCGTGCACGACTCGATCCTTGTTGCGGTCTTCCTTTGGAATTGGGTCGTTACGCAAATCAATATTAATAAATTCCGTAGCAGGGGTGAACGAAACTGCCCTGAAATGTTTACGAATATCTGACAAAGCATCAAACTCGATGTCATTTTCCATTATTGTGAAGTAATAATTCCATGCAAGAGCGCCAGTGTCGGACGTCCGGAGTCGATGTTAGCCGATATCTCCTCCGTGCTCCGGATGATAATGATCTGCACACCCAGCCCCCCTTAGAAGACAAAAGTAACACCCTTGGTTTGATCGGTTAGTTTGGGATACCTGTGTCGCGAGTTACAAGAAAAAATACAAAACTCTACTCTGGAAATATCCTTTTGAAAAGAAGGAAAAAGAGGATTTCGATATAAAAGATGGAGAAAATTGAAAAGTTATTTTATATTCTTTCAAACAGCCTACCCTACCCGGGTGGGTGAGGGGGTATTGCATAACCTTAGGTCAGACAAGGCCAGGCTACCAAGAATCAAAATATGGCGTCTACAAGAATCTTCTGTTGTGGAAGAACTCTCCTAAAACTTCGACATTTTTACCCCTCTCATAAAAGATTTTGCTCTCAAAAGTTACTACAGACAAAATTTAATTATCAAAGAACTCGTAATAGTGATTTATATCGACGTTTTGGGTCTACTTCAACTGGCGAAGGAGAAGATAGTGAACGACTGCTCCACATCAGTGAGAAGTGTGTCCAGGTATACTGTAGAAAATTGTTATATATATATATATATAACTTGATCATAATTAGGAGTTTAGCTACCTGTTCCTTTAGTTATTCAGTTCTGTATTAATCAGATTTTGCGTGGAAAGAATTGTTAAAGTAAAACTTATCCAGGTAAACTTCATATCTCGGCTGTTTTATCAGTTATGTCGTAGAAATTCTGGATAAACCTTTTAATTTTTTTAGCAAATGAAGAAAATAACAGCTGATGAAAATGACAAGGATAAATTTTTGAGAGTGTTGGTTGAAGGTGGAGGTTGTTCTGGTTTTCAATACGTCTTCAAGCTGGATAACAAACAAGAAGATGAAGACAGGTAGGTAGGAAAGAACGAAAAGAGGAAATCATTCGCTTTCGTCTTTCATGTGCCTCAAGGGTTATTCTCCAGGGCCTGGTTGAACAAAGGGTGGATGCTGTAGGGCTATCCAATGGATAAGTTGGTGCTGTAATCCAAGTAATTTATCCATTGGATAAGATTCCTTCATGCCCACCAGACACAGCCAATCATAGCCCCGGTGTGATTCTAAAGTTAGCCAGACTGACCGTATAGAACTACACCACCTTCTAGTCTAAGACTTGCACCACAGTAGCAGTCGAAGCATGACGACCCACACAACTGCCATGGTCATGAGACAAATGAATAAGTATAATTTTTGGATAAGATTTATCTGTCGGATAGTGCTATCCACTCTTCATACAACTAATAATAAATAAAGTAAATAATAAATAAATGGGATTTAACAGTGGCATTTCTACAGAGTAGCTATTCATCCACTGTAATTCCAATTGGAATTTAAGAGTCGATTTTTGCAGAGGGAGGAAAGCCGGAGAATCCTGGAAAACCCTCAAAGCACAGAAGAGAACCAACAAACAACTCTACTCACATAGGACACCGAGCTCAGCGGGACTCGAACCCGGGTCGCATTGGTGAGAGGCAAGCACTCTCACCACTACGCCACCCATGCTTCCAACTGGGCCCAGTTTTTCTGATTTTTCTCCTTCCATGAAAATCAACATGCAAGTTTAGAGTTGTCTAAAAGAGCAGTGATAGTGAGTGTGCAGTATGTCTCTATAGTCTCTAGGGAGACTGAGCAATGACTCCCTGCATCACTACATAAAAATAAAAAGATTTAAGATTTATATTTTATCAATTTCAACTGTCTCAAGTTTTTTCAGAACAAAAGTATACCTGTATAATGAAATTTAAATTGAAACATTCACTTTCCTTTTCAGAGTGTTTGAAAGGGAAGGTGTCAAGGTTGTCGTTGATGAGGCTTCGCTAGAAATTATTAATGGATCAACTATTGATTACAAAGAAGAACTCATAAAATCCGCTTTTGCTGTCGTTGATAATCCTAAAGCAGAAATGGGCTGCTCATGTGGAGTGTCATTCTCTTTAAAGTTATAGTATAAAGAAAATAATCTTTAGTGTAAATATTTAATAGCCTTTCTAAGAATAAGTACAATATGAAGTTGTTGAATGGGGTTGAAAATTTTGAGTCTCTCCAACCCAGGGCAAAGTCCCCTTCACAGTTCCCTGCCCCATCTTGAAAGATAGCCATGCCTTTCAATGGTGAGCTTGCAATGATAAAGACATGAACAATAATTGTCCAAGATGTTAAAAAAGGGTCTCAATCATTGCAAGCTCACTGTTTGTCTCACATCGATGCAAAGGCACGGCTACCTTTCAAGATGGCGCAAGTAAAGGGACTATGAGGGACTATTTGAAGTGCTAGTTAAAATTGAAGTGATATTATGGTCATTAAATCCTGGGGTAGAAATATTTCTATGAGTGAGTAACCTTGTTACTGGAAATCATGATAGGGATGCCCTATCAGTAGTTTACACTCACCTCACCTGGTACCTCAATTCCTAGACTTGGCACGCCACATGTAAATAGAGCTTATTGGGTCTCTCCCTTGATTTTAACTCTCCTTCTCCAGCTTCTGCAGTTTTAATTTTCTATCTGCAAAACCTAACAAGCTAAATTCCAATTCAATGCTTTGGTGCTAGTGTCACATGGTATAAATCGTGTTGGATTGTGTACAATTACCAAAGAGGTTGGACATTGTTCTCGGATTTCTGTACAAATGTACTGACTTTTGAACAAATCATTAACTTGGTTTGTTTGTGTTCCTCTAAATATTAGTAAAAAAAGCTTCAATCAAGTTAGAAAAATTATATTTTGCTTGTATTTAGGAAGCCAACTCAACAAATCAAGTAAATGATTCATTTAAAAGTCAGTACATTCGTAACAAAATCTGGGAACAATGTCTGAACTTTTTGGTGATCATAACACAATCCAATTAAATGTATATGATCTGATGGCTTGTACTGAAGTGGTAATTAAATCTATGAGTTAGCTGTGCACTGACTTTGATCAGCCATGTGAAGAGTTCCTTTAATAGACCAAATTCACAGCTTTCCCATTTCAGACCACGTCATTCCCTAGAGTATATTTCCCTAGTTAATGGTTGCACATGAGAAGACACATGAATAAGGATAATATTATACAACCTAAAGAAAGAATATTATTCTAAAGAGTGACATATGGTCTGAAATGGGCAAAACATTATGCACAAGTGGATTTGGTCCATTTGTACACACTGCCTCACTGTTTATTGTATGTATGTTCATAATCACAATGAATAATAATCATTATTAGTAAAAAGGTAATACCTAAAAATTATTGATACTTTGACAAATAAATAAAAGATTCAATTAAAATAACCATATGTGACATGAACACTGCACTCTTTTTTGATACTTTCCAACCAGTCATAGTATGTAAAGCTAGACTACAACATAATAAATTATTATTACCCTGTAAAACATCTCTCCTCCAATCTCCTCACACTGGAGCTCTATTTGATCTTGGGCTAGATAATAATATACTACAAAACACCAAGTTTTTTTTTCCTTTTTATTTGAACAAATCCTTCCAGAAGAAAACACTAACACTATTTTTTGAATATTGAAATAAAAAGATACCTTACTGAAGCTGACAAATAGATAGCTCTTTCTTTGGACCATAATTATACAATTTCAATAAATCTCTTTACTTGATATTAAGAAAATAAATATAAATCAAGAATCAAAATGTACTGTAAATATTAAGTTCTGGAAATTACAAAATTTAATATATGCTACATTTTTGATTATTTCTAGTGCAACTGTGATGAAGATATTTGTCCAGATATGTTTGCCAAAGCTTTATGATAGCTTGGTTCTCTCTGCTTATATCTGGATTTTATCTTTCATTGTCTATATCTTAGTACCTAATGCATCATCAAGTATAAGTTATTTGAAGAATCAATATTGTTTCAGCATCTTTTTAGTCCTTTGAGTCAAGTCCGATGTTTATTTTTTCTGGGATTTTTTCCAAGTTAGAACACCAACACTACTATGCTAACCCTACCAGCAATGTCATTTTTCTATTTATCTTTTGAGTCATCCAGGGTCTGTTTTACAAGTTGATTCCTTGACTTGCGCTTTACTCGTGCAAATGGGCCGACCTTTGGGTCTGTAATAAATTCATATATAACTTTACTCCAGGAATGATAGTGAGGTAGTTTGTCGTAATACTCTGAAGCAATCTTTTTGACCATAGGAAGTCTTGAACCAGGAACACTAGGAAAGTCGTGATGTTCATTGTGGTAGCCAACATTGAAGGTCACAAAGTTCAAAGGACCATAGTAGGAAAAGGTCTCGTACCCCTCTGTGAACATGTAATGCTCGGCAATGAAGTGCCCTGCCACTGGGTGGAGGCCCATACCAAGGAGTGAGGAAGCAATCAAGTACACCAGCGACTTGCCACCCAAATAATATAGAACTACAGCATCTGTCACAACCTGTAAAACAAAATTGATCGCCTCAAGGCTGGTGGGTGGTTTGGGATTGACGAACATGGGACGCAGAGAATAAAAGAATGGCTGCATGATCACCCATAGCAACTTGGTTATGGTATTAAAAAACATCCTGGCTTCAAACTCTGTCGGCAGGTCAACATCAAGTTCCTCATCTCCCTGGTAACGATGATGCTCTAGATGATACTTCTTGAATGAAATAGACACTGGAATGCCTATTGGCAGGTTGGCAAAAAAGCCAAGTAGTCTGTTGTACATTGGCTTTGAATGTCCAAATGCGAGGTTGTGAGATATCTCATGAATAGCAAGTAACAATGCATGGTTTATCACAGCACCAGCAATGTATGCTACCAAAATGAGCAGCGGCCAGGAGAGATCCTTGGCTATGTACGCTAGTAGGAATTGTAGGACCACCAGAAATGCCACTTGATATTTGAAATTTGGGTCAAATCCCATAAGCTTCTTGATCTCAGGATATTTAGCTGAAACCAAAAATTAAAAAAATTAGAATGATAAGCTTTTGGCTGACAGCACAGTGTTTGACCTGTCCACCATTTGGGCCAAATGATGAGAATAAAAGACTTTTATCAGCTTTTAAAAGTCCAATAATTCCATAGAATTATACAAGTGTACTATTTGACATTTCAGACCTTTATTTCATTCCCTTACCAATGTTTTCAATACTATGAACTGTTGGAGGCAACAGTCGCAACAGGGAAATTGGGCAATTGACCTCCATCAATCTAATAAATTGGTCGGAATCTTTACATACTCTGATTGCCGGAGAGTATCCTGATTCAATACATTATGAAATTCAAAGATAAAACATGTGCAATAGTTAAGATACAATGGAGGAAATAGTGTGAATCTGAAATTCACAGGATAAAACATTGTATAAAAATAAAACCAAATATCCACATCGAGAAAAAATTATTAATTTCAAAAAATATTTCACATTTGTCAACACATAGGTTATTATATAAAACGATTGAATAAAATATCTCTTGGTAAATTCTGAGACTCTAGGGGGAGAGTTACATAAGCTTATGATACGTATGCATGAGAAATCCAATTTTAGAATTAAATATTTCTTACGGTTTAATATGAAGTGACTATAACTTTTATGACTTAGAAAGAAGGAGATCCCTCGACAAGAATCTATAATATTTCTGTGAAATTATAAGGTGGACCATGTCAAAATCTGGATCTGAAACGACTGTAATTTATACGCCTTCAAATCAAATCCATACTGGTGAAATATCTAAAGAAACCAACGTTTAGAAATATCCCTAGCTAACACATATTGTGAAAGTCATGTTTGAGAGATCATAAGCACTACGGCCATGATGCATAACCAATCCAACCATCCATAAATGCTCAAAGTCGTGTTACTGAATTTCAAACGATTACGAAACAGTAAGTACGCCGGCTGGACTTGGCAAGTCCTAGTTTTCGAAGGATATTTTCTTGAAAATTCCACCTCGCATTCCCACATAACTATCACTTTTGCAAAGAATCCCATTAGCCCTAGCTTACCCAGTATTTCTTTTCGTCTGCTCGCATGGGGTTCTTCAGTATATGACCATTCAAAGTCGGTCCTCGAGACCTGGCCGCCCATTTTGTAAGACAACTGTAAAGAAGAGGACGAAGAAAGTCCAATGAAGAAGGCTTGGCTGCGTGAATAATAAATGACAGCTATCAATCATTTATATTGTGCACGCTGTCAAAATGAGCACGAACTATATATCCATGCTATAAATGTTCAAGGTAATATATTACTAATTTGGACTTTTATTATAACATCTATTCGCGATCGATCTAATGATTATATTGGTGATTTTCCCCAAGAACATAGATGACAAAAGCCGAATTTGGGCTACCTTTGGAGGACGACAAACTGAGTTGCATAACGAACGTACACGTACGCGGTGTTAAAAATGAGAAAGAATGCGAGAGCCCCTTTTTTTTCGGAAAGAAAAAAAAAACATAAAAGGTTTACAAACCCTGAAAAAACGTTTTGTTATTCAAATGCCGCACCATATCGCCTGATTATTAGGGGTCACCTAGCTTGACCTGATTTGTATATCTATCGGACCATGGATACCGCTTGCCATGTGTTTCATGGCTGTTGCCATATACAATATAGTCGACTGTGTGGACGTTGGTTGTCGTGTGTGTCGTCCATATAGTCGCTGCTATGGTATTACGTACGCCAGCATTCACTGCCGTCCGTGGCCGTATGGCCGTGTGAGTTTTTTTACAGCCATATAGAATCTACCCTATATAATTTTTTCAATACTGGAACTAAAAAATGTAGAAATTTAAAAATTGGCTTACAAATGGGTTTTAAAGTGAAGCCAAGATACATACGGGGGAACACTAGAACCCGGGTGGAGAAGGACCCCATAAAATACGATAAATTTTCAATTTTAGTGAAAAAGTCACTCCTTCATGGTCTTACGCTTAGCTCACATCTAGTGAAAGGACCTTTGAAGCTCCTAATCAAATCTTGAAGCATATTCGTCCATTAATTGTTTTGGTCTTTTATTTATTTATTTGTTTTGTTGGAGTTGACCAAAATATATAACTTCTCGAAGTTGAAAAAGTTCTTCTCAATGAATGATGAATGTGAAAAAGTAGCTCACTCATCGGCTGGTGCTCAGCTCACTTCTAGTGAAAGGACCTTTCCGGTTGAAGCTCCTTTTCGCCGACTCCTAAGCCATATTCTTCCACTAAGTTTCTCTATAACTATTTTTGTTTTTTTTCTGCATTGATCAAAACATATAACCTTTTAATTTATGAGAGGCCATTTCAAAACCGTAAAGTCGAAATCTGGTGTCTAAGTTGAATCAGAACAAGCGTAGAAAAGGGGTTAGGCTCCCTGTGGTATATTTCGCCTTCATCACACCACAGGCAGTCCATACGTTTAAACAGACAATAATAAACACATACATACAGATGTCATACATACATATATATATTCGAAAATAAATAAAWATCACTACTCACGTTTTCTGTCTTCACTTGGATAGCATTGATGCAGGGATACTGTACAGAATATCCATCCCTTTGGAATAAAGACTCCTTTTTTACTCTTTGCGCGGTATCATAGTAACTGTACGCCGCTCTATTTTCTGTTTTAGCTTGGTATCTCGCATGACCACAAGTGAGGAGTTTTCGAACGTCTTTTGAGAATCACTGTCAGTGATAAAGACTAAAAGAAATGGCAAAAAAGTGGAATAGATTCAAAGTTTCTCACGCAGTAGCCTTGACCATTTCCTTCTCATAAACACCATATTTTTGATCGATTTCTAAAAATAAGTGCGTCAAAGCAATTTTTCTAGTAAGGTTAGACTTTTGACCATGATTTTTGAAGTTGAAATGCTTAAGGAATGTTATTGTCGATCCCACACTCCACCTAAGAAAAGTCCAATCCAAGGGGTTAATCCAGATTGTGATTTTCCACAATTTTGGATTTTGAGGTAAAAACTATCAAATTCTAAAAGAGCAAGTGAAATAGGTATCAATGATGCAATTTGCTTTGTGTTTGTCTAAAAAGAAATGGTTTTACGAGCATCAAAATAAATTTACCCACAACACAGTGTACACCTTTACAACACACCTTCCCCTCCTTCAAGGAACTGGGTGCTACATTGAAAGGTTGTCCTCCCTCCACAAACCTAGACCAAGCAAAATTATATTCAACATGATCTCTCTTTTGAGCTGCACTGTGACATTGATCTGCATGGTATCGAAAAAATTCTAAGGACTATCCGAGTCCGATTTCTATATATAGTATAGAATGTATAATCGGAATATTTTGTTATCCCCTATCTTTGCGGCGTTCAAATTTCACTTTCCCCATTACGCTAGAATATTGTGAATACACCTTTTAGGAGCACGGCACGGCACGAATGTAACTAGTGTAGTTTCAAACTTAGTTTTTATCCTCTCAGACAAGCTGATAAGTTGTAAGATTTTGTTCATACCAGAAGTGGTAAAAATTGAAAAGATGGATTCCAAATGGTTCAAAGTCAAACCAAGATACATAGGGTGGAAGACTATATCCCGGGCGGAGAAGGACACCATAAAATACAGTAAATGTATGTAATTTGGTCTGTGAGGGGCCCGTGATATGCACTCTACGCCCGCGATGTAGTCTTTTTTCTTAAAACACACCATTCAATTACAAACTAAGCCTGTTATTCTTTATCCTTCCAGTTGGCTGTATCATGAAGCAACTGTACACGATACGGAGGCTGATTAGAAAGGATTTCTAGCCGTTACCGTCTTCATGGACGAAGCGATAAACAACAAGTTTGATAAGAAAGTTTAGAGTCATTTTATGTCGATTATGGTTTTCTATACAGAGTCAAGCATTATTAACGCCCTATACTCAAAGACACCGTTTAAAATAAAATAAAAAATTTCAAACCAGGGAAACTGCATGGGACCACCCTTAGCAGAAGATTACATGTTTATACTGAGATACCATCATTTATAGCAAGTAAAGGTTCGAGTTCAGTGGGCAAGCGATGCTGAGTTAATACCAAATTATTTGCTGTCAACCCCTGAGCCACTTTGCAAATGTCCGCTAAATATAACGCGCAAGGGTCTGCAGAACAGAGTTTATTCCTGCGAAGAAAACCGGCTAAGAAACAGAAAGGAGAACCATAAACAAGGAGGAAGGTAGTTTAGGGAATGACAATCTCGAGCTCTAGTAATCCGACTAGGGAATATAAAGTGTCCCTTTCAAAACTGTCATCCTATAGCGGGAGGGGTACTACTATACCTAGCCAATATCAAAATATGCAATTTTTTGAATAAATAATCTTCCAGTATCAAAACATGCAAAAATACGGCAACATTTGTTTTGGTAATTACCACTAAACAAAAATACTCCTTGTGCACGAGTGACAGAACACAAATCAAACTGTGAATAAATGTAACGCACGCGAGGATCAACACCTGAGTCGTAAAAAATGCACGTTTTGCATAAATAAAAATTAGCATGGCGATACAGTGAAAATAGTAAAGCTTACACACACACAAATATATATAGTGAGCCGGGCGAAAAAAACGGTAAAGCAATAATGCAAATAATGCTTCAGTACAAGTGTATACGAATCTTATGGAGTAATTATCTTCAACAGAATTCAAAGCAACCAAAACATGTGCGTGCAGGACAAAGTCATGAAGCATATTTGTATGTTTTAAAACCAATTAAAGCAATTAAACCATTAACAACATTTAGCTTGACATAGAAATAAAACATTTAATGGTAACACAAACCTTACCTATTTACCGATATTTTTTACAGACTGTAAGGAGGAGTTCTCTGAATTCAAACTTACTGTTCAGCCTTGGAAATAAAAGCCGGAGTGCGAAGAAACGTACAATCCGTGCCGCAGCTAGTCTCCCCCACAGCCGCTTTCAGTGTCGTCACGCTACGCTTTCTCCCCTGAGTAGCGGCTGCTTACCCGAGCACAACATTCCTTTCCTATGAATTAACCAATCACGGCTCAGTTCTCGAAAACCAGGAACCATTCGCGCCATATGGAAAGCACGATGCGTCGAAGGCTTCGAAATAGCAGCTAAGAAATTTCGCATCAAACAGTTTAATGATCATCAGAAAGACGCTATACGAAAGATTTTACAAGAAAAACTAGATTTCTTTGAAAATCTGCCTACTGGATATGGGAAATCGCTCAAAGGAATAAAATATTGGCGCTCTAGAGTATAGCCCAGTAATTTCTTTCTAGACAAGCTCGAGGACTTTTTGAATAACAGGAGTTCGGAGTTCAAACTGCTATAAAACGCGACGTTAGAAGGTTGGCCATAAGATAACGCTTTAGCTAACGATTCGTGTTCACTTTTCACGACGTTTCTAACAGTGTGAACAAAACAAAACAAAACAACTTTTCTAACAGTATCAAATTGAGCTAATCCTCGCAGTATACGAGAAGTAAATACCAGAACTGTGAGCATTCAGAAGTTTACAATGAATAACCGTGGAAGTCAACGGTGTGACAGTGTCAGATTTAAAAGTTATCTAGCCTTTTTGTGATTTTCTTGAGCTTAAYACCTTGCATTCGTTGTTTAAAATGTGATCTGCGCGGCTCATCTTCTTCGTTTATTAGAAATACTGTCAGACTTTATATTCGAATTCAATCTCTTAAATCTTGAGTCGTCTCATTTAACTTCCAAGAGTCTAAATTACGCTTTTTAAAAAAGTTTTCCAGTTTCTTTTTGCTTCTAATATTTTGGTACGAGCTCGATAGYAAGTACAAACTCGAATTCACTGTCGGCCGATTAAACAATGTCGATAGCTAAACTTATAAAAATATAAATATTTTCTTTCTTTATGAACAAAGAAAACACTTAGTTCCGTCTCCAATAATATTTTTTCTAGTATTAAACATTTAACAAKAACAAATTCAATTTTAATTTCCCAAAGATTTTCTCCAACTTCCACTCAAATGCGTCTTAGAATTATTTCTCTAGTCTCGCGAATGTTTACAAGTTGTCAAATTCGAAACGTTTTGATTGGTTCTTGAAACACAATGACCCTTATCTAATTGGTTGAACACAAACAATAGGAAAGGAATGTTGTGCTCGGGTAAGCAGCTGCTAGTCAGGGGAGAAAGCGTAGCGTGACGACACTGAAAGCGGCTGTGGGGGAGACTATGCCGCAGCAGGCTTGAAGTGGAGTGACTGATATACTAATATGCTAATCAGTTCTCATTCATTCTCTTTTGAGAGTAATAACTTAAACAAAAAAACATTTTAGGGCTATTCCTAAATCAGGTTTAGGGATAGTCCTCGGTCAAGTTAAGGGATACACTTAGTTCAGGTTAAAGGCTATGTATGGCTATGCATGGCAATGTATGGTTATATTTGGCTATGAATGCTCATGGGTAGCTATGTATGGCTGTGTACCTATGTATGCGTAAGTATACCAATTTATGGCTATTTACACCTATGTATGGCTATATACGGCTATTTATGCCTATACATGTCTATACTGTCTATACATGGCTATGTATGGCTAGGGATGTCCATGTACATGTAAGAGGTGACCATGTATCTCCATACGCGGTCATGGACGGTAGTGAATGGCTAGCGAATACCACACGAGCGGCGACATGGACTACACACATGACAATAAGCGTCCACACGGGCGACTATATTACTATATGGCATCCATGAGCACATCCCCTTGGCGAGGAGACTGGTACATAGAAAGATATTCCGCCATCTTGATTTCATAACCATGTTCACTGTAAGAAGAATCTTCGCTCCTAGAATATTATCACAGCCCTCTAGCTCAGCGTTATGGCTTCGTTTAAGACAGTTTAGTGATCAGGCTACGAAATGGACTGATGAAGAACTTAAAAAGACTGTCAAAAATGATAAAGTGGTGGTGTTTATGAAGGGGGTTCCAACACAACCCATGTGTGGATTCAGTAACGCAGTAGTTCAGATTCTTCGCATGCATGGAGTTGAGAACTTTGCGAGTTACAATGTACTTGATGATGAAGAGCTAAGACAGAAGATTAAGGAATTTTCTCAGTGGCCTACGATACCGCAAGTCTACATGGATGGCGAGTTTGTTGGAGGTTGTGACATTTTGTTGCAAATGCATCGAGATGGAGACTTGATCGAAGAGCTGAAGAAGGTTGGAATCAAATCTGCTCTACTGGAAAAGGAGGAAGAGAATGATAAAGAGAACAGCTAGTTTTGTGCATTTTCTTAAAAGATATTGAGTTGGCAAGATAGAGTTGATTGATCCCGTTGGCTTTGCAGTTTACCAACAGTCACATGACTGTATAGCTGGACGAAAGATTAAATTTCATCTGCTAACAATAACTTGTGAATGAATAATGACATGTTGAACAAAATCATTTTTAAATAAACTAAATTGCTCCTATAATGTCAAAGCAAGCAAAGTATTGAGATTCAGTGTTGTATAGAGCGTTTTCACGTGATGTCACAGCGACCATGTTGGTTTACCAAAACAATAAATTTTCTTTCCTCAGGGAATTGAACTTTATTTTTATGCAAATGTGCAGAAAGTTTCTAATGTTTGATACACCAACATGGCTGGCTTGTCACCTTGTGTGTAGAAATGCTTTATGGCAATACATCATGTATGGTAAGCCTTTTTTATTCATGCACTAACCAGAGATCCATTGGCTGATGACACGAAGCAACTTGTGATGAGCTTGTCACAACAGTGTTGCTAGTAAATATGAAGTATTACTAGAACCTTTTACGCATGCTAATAATATGCAGAAGCACCCTGAGCCTCACAATGATGCAACACAAAAGTGGGTTAATTAACATATCCTTTGTTTTTAGAGGCTTGGTGTGTTTTTGCATATAATTCAAGCTTTAATGTAAAGGCCCTATTGCTTGTGCATATTTGTTTGGGAAGGGCAAGGCGAATCATAACTGGCAGTTGATCAAGTTATGAGATGGGTTGAGATGGGGAAACTTTGTGAAATTCAGAAATTCTACCATTTTTATTCTACACATTTTAATCTACACATGTTGTACCATAGAACGTACTTTTCTTACTATAGAATGGACCTTAATAAACGAAAAGAACACATTCGTACACAATGGAGGCTAAGACTGAGCAAAGGAAATAGGAACTCATATTAAAGTACTTTTTCAGCCTTTTCTATAATTTTATTTTGGAATGGAAAGATGTATTTTCATTTTACAATAGACACTCATGGCTGTGAACATTTCCCATTTGTGTTCTAAGACTTTTTCTCTGGTTTAGTTCTATGTCATAACATTTTCTTTCAACACTTTTTAGAATTACAAAAAGATTCATGATAATGTACAGATTGATACATAAGGACCAATTATTTTGTCCTGCCATAGGTTGCTGTCATATTCTGAATTACAATATATAACCCTGATTAAAATGTACAGTTAAATCAAAGAGGTAATAGTCCCTTTTCTTACTTGGTATATACGACTGTGTTTAATGACTGGAGACTCATCTGCACATGCTTAGCCTTGTTTATCAATTAAACCATTTGCAAGTTGAACAATACTAATGTTTTCTCACTGACTTTTAATGGTATCTGTGGATGGGTGACTTAATGAGGCTAAAACCTCAGATCTTCAAAAACAGCAATATGCATGGAATGCAACACTGGTTGTAACTGTCAGTCCCTCTTAGAAACCCCACTACTATGGACTACTGTTTTTTTGTCCTGATAATATATATGTATGCATTCAAACATATATAGTGTAATACAATGGTTGGTGACTGGTCTCCCAAATTAAATAGGGGTTGACTGTAGATAGTAGAGTTTTTGGAGCAGGCTCTAATGTAATTTTCGATATAAAAGATGAGCAATTCAATAACCGTATTTTTCATTTAACTTGGTACGACCATCACCACTTTGATCTGTAAAAGAATCATTAAGATAAATGTTATTTTCTAAGAATGTGTCATGATGTGTGTGTAATGTAGTTAGTTCCTGAGTGTTAAGAGTGGCATAACAGTAGTGCAATCACCTAGCATCTCAAGGGACTTGGGTTTCATTCCCAGACTCAGCATTGAGTGTGAGTAGAGTTCATTAGCTCTCTCCCTCGATTGAAGGCTTTTTCTTTGGGCTCCCCAATTTTTAGTCTCCTTTGCATCCACTGTTAGTGTCGTCAGACAGCAACATGTGTGATATGCAAGAAGACTTAGGGGAGCAAGCATTGTGTAACAACACTTACAGCAGCTGCGTAGGAGAATACCCATTTTTCTGAGTTATCTGTGCCTGACTATGATCAGCCCAAGACACTGTTTCAGGGTAGCAATACAATTTCAAAGAATTATCTCTAACAAAAAGAGAATTAATAAGATTATTGTGTGCCCCGTATCTGTCAGTATAGTTATTTCTGAGCATACACTGTCATCAGAGAGCAGTTTCTCTAGGGATCATAGTGGAGATACAGTCAATTCTTAGTCTGTACCCTGTATATAAAAAAATCCCATCCAGTTTTCTTCATACACGTAGAAGTGAGGAATAATTAACTAATGCTATCTTACCAGTGGGTGGGATCCAATCTGAATAATTCTCATCCATTAAACTTTCAGTCTGAGTTGGTGCTGGTGGCGAGGGTGGTGGTGATGATGGTGAATATTGAGGCATTATTTTTCTTTTCTTTTTCTCAATCATCTCCTAGCAAGGATTAGAAGACACTTACATAAATATCAAGGATTCAGGTCTTGATTCACAGAAGAGTCGTTCAGGCAACAGAGTGTAAAGAAGAAGGTTGTGACATTGGGGGACAACAACAAAAACAAACAGTTGAAAATGAAGAATAATATTAAATACTAATTATGAGTTCTACTGAATACTCCAGTTTCGAATTCTATGTTCTACAGGGCTAACCTTGATTTCATTAGAAATACTTTGAAAATTCATGCATTCCAGTGAAAAGGTTTGTATCCTTAAAGTTGTGTATCTTTACCCAATTGCTGATATTAATTATACAGCTTCTCATTAATCCCAAATAGGTAACTGTCCAATTATTTTCTTAATCGGACAGGTCTTGTTGATATGGGATTAATTAGGCAGCTATATAATTAATAGGTAATGGGATTTCATGCTCCGCAATCAAGAAATAATTAGACTCAAAAAATTCCTCTGACTGCCAAATTGGACTCGGCCTACGGCCTCTTCCAATTTTGGAAGTGCTCGGAATTTTCCTCGTCCAATTATTTCTTAATTGGACAGCATGGAGACCTATTACATATACTAATTTTTGTGAATATTTGGACACTCATATAAGGCTAATCCTGTATAAGTCTGTGATCAAGGAACACAGCATTTTTTTGACTAATTCAAAAATAGTCTATTTCATGACAGCACTCTGGAACACGAACAGTCTTTCATTACCTGAAATGCTCCACTTTGTTCTTCAGGAGCTTGATGTTTCTTGAATCTGCGCTCCTTCCTTGTATCCTTCTCATTAGTAGTACTACTTTTCAGCCCCTCTAACACCCTACTTAAACTGCTATCTGGTGGTGGAACTTTCTTTGGTTTTGGTTTGGGGCTTTTCAAAGATGGTAAAGCAGGCATTGCAAATTTTGTGGTTTTGCTTTCAATCTCTTTTTCACTATTTTCAATACTTCCATGTTTGTCTGAACCAGTAGTTCCTCTGTTGGGATCATGTGAAGAAATTGAATCCTTTGAGGAGGCCTTATCATCTAATACAGCTCGTTCATGTCTGATGCTAGAGCCTACTCCAGTAGTAGATTCTTCCTGGCTAGCAGTACTTGTAGCTACACCTGGGGTACTGATCTTTTTCTCTTCCAATTTTTTATTAATTTCCTGAACTCCTTCCTTGGATGACAGTTTTGGGCTGTGAAAAAAAATGCATAAAATATATGATAATAATAACGGGCATTACGCATTTGCATTTTGTTTAAATCACATTTTCTGGTTGTGCTCCATTATCCTTTAAAATCAAATTTATTGAACTAAATTGAATTTCAATCTTCGACCTTTCACCCATACTGTGAAACATTACAGCCAAGGCAGAAGATTATATTTTTTGCGATCTATTATGAATGCATTTATATAATAATTTTATACTTACATTAGGAGTTCTGGAAGTGATGTTGGTTGTGCAACTTTAACAAGCTTAGCTAATAGCTGCTTCTCCTGTTAGCAAACCAAAAGTGAAAATGTCATTCTGAAATCTAATCTTTAAATCTCTATGGAAATGATATCCCCAATCTTATACTCATATGAGTTAGCTGTGCCCTGATTTAGATCAGCCCAGATAGGGATTTTTTAATGTTCAATCTGTGAGTTAGCTACATGTATACCCTGAATTAGATCAGCCCAGAGGTTGTCTCAGTGTTTGATCAGTGATTTAGTCATGCCATGAATTAGATCAGCCCAGAGGTTGTCTCAGTGTTTGATCAGTGATTTAGTCATTAGGGATTTTTTAATGTTCAATCTGTGAGTTAGCTACATGTATACCCTGAATTAGATCAGCCCAGAGGCTGTCTCAGTGTTTGATCAATGATTTAGTCATGCCGTGAATTAGATCAGCCAAAAGGATACTGTATTTAAGGATCCAATAACATAGAGTTTTTTTAATAAAAGTATTGCATCAATGGAAAACAGCACCAATCATTTAACAACAAAATTGTTAACTTACTTTCTTAAGGTCATATATTTTTCTTCTCATCTGCATTCTAGCAGTCTTGTCCATGCATTTGTCAATACTCTTCATGTATAAATCAAGAGAATCTTCATTTTCTTTAGCAGCTTTTGAGGCTAATATAAAATGACAGAGGTAAGTGAACAGTACTTGGAAGCACAGTTGGCATGTAGTTGTGAGACCACCTCTCACCTTAACATATGCAACCAGGGTTTGATTCCCAGTTTGTTTGTGAGTAGAGTTACTCATTGGCTATACTAGCGCACACTCAACTAAAATACTACTGAAAAATGTTTGTTCAAGTTCACTTGGGTACATATATAATATAATTTTCTGGACAGGTTAAAAAAAGTTTTTGGCATGTTGGTATACCTTCCATAGCTTCCTGTAGCTTGGTTTCAAGAGATGCAATTTCTTCTTCTACTGACTTTAATTTAGAACTCTGAACRAAAAAGAAACAAGTTTATGTAATTTAACAAATGGGCTAAGAAGATTAAGATGGCAAATCAAACATAATAAACATACTAGAGATTCAAAGGTTTCTGTTTCTTCTTTGTCTTTTTTAACAGTTTTCATTCTTTTGATTCTCTTCATCTCAACTACAGAGGAAATCAATACCAATAAAGTTATGAGGAAAATGAATGGATGAATGAATAAAGGAAATAATAAATGAAAGAATGAATAAACAAGGAGATGATTCAATGACTCAAAGAAAAAACTGGGTGATTGAATGCTGGAAAGAAGGGAAAAGGATGGAAGGAAGGAGAAAGCAGAAAAGAAAAATGGATAAAGCAATGGAACAATGGAGGGAGGGAAGAAAGAAAGAGGAAAAGAGTAAAAGGAAGACAAAAAGGATGAAGGAAGATAGGAAGGAAGGAAAGAAGGGAGTAAAGGGAGAAAGGATGAATTTAAAAAGCAAAAATTAAAGGAGAAAGGAAAAGAAAGAGGAATGATAGAATGAAAAGGACAAAAGGTTAGATTGATATAACTCCTGTTTTGAAAATGTAAAACGAAAATGAATGCCTTTTTGAAAAACTCACTTGATCCTGTTCTGTCAAGGAATGTGTCTTCATCACTATCGTAGTAATCATTCTCTTCCCAGTTTTTCATTTTCTGTTTCTTGCTTTCTACATCCAAAAAACTCAATGTTAACAATCCCTTCTCATGAACGAAATATCTTAACATTATAAAAATGTAAAACGAGCTCAGTTATTAAATGTTGTACCATGTGATGACTGTCTAAGAAGTCCATTCATGTCAAGTATTCTGCAGGCTTCTGCAGCACATGCTAAGACAGCCTCTCTCTTCTTCCCTGTAACAGCAGCTTCTGCATATAAAGGATCACCAGTGGCTGTTTCGACAGGAAGCCTATGAAAGATAATACATGTAGATTAATAATAAATGAATTGGTGGTTTTTAACATCTACAACTGGTTTTATGCAGAGATAAATTTAAATGTAATTGGTTCAGAAAAGAGAAAATCATGTGTAAAGGCAAGGAAAGGATTTCTCAGATGTTGACATTTAAAGCTAGTAAATGTAATAAATTTTACAATGCTGCATTACTTGACTCTGCAATGGTAGACTCTTGCATGACCAGGTCCTGTTTCTTCAACCTGATATTCCAGATCTAGACCTAACCAGACAAAGATCAAAAATCAAATAATACATTACAGTTTTACAGACTGAGGAGTAAGCAGATAAATATAAATTCTTATGATGGAAAATTCAGACATATTGTTTTGCAATCTGTCAAGACTGTGTGCTGGCAACAAAGCTCAATGTACCTTCTCTTTCAAAGTAGCCTCGTAGAGTTTTCTTAGGATCTTTAAACTCATGTGTCTCCATTACTTCAAGTTCTGATGCAAATGGATTGACGGCATCTTCCTCTACGGCATCCTCACCTGTTTTTTTTTAGAAATCCTTAAGCATTATACATCTAACAAGAACCTTTGAATGTAGTATGGTGAGACAACATTGCTTTCTGTAGAATACATGTGTGTGCATATCATAGCCTTGGGCTCCCTGTGGTAGGAGCACCACAGGAAACCCAATCACTAAGACAAAAATTAGTGTTAATAAGAGTACAGTGGATACGAACAGCAACAACAAATATCAAGAATTACCAAATCCCCAACTAATTCCCTCATCTTTCTCCTCTGGTTTCTTTTCTTTCTGTTGCTTCCATTCTTCATATTCCTCTTCACTCATCACCCTTCCAACTTCACTACCGTGCTTGGCGGAACCTTCTCGTTGTTCTGCAATCATTTCCTCATCTTCTTCTACTTCCTCTGGACCCTTGGTATGTACATGTAGAGTAAGTTTGTATCAGTTTCTTACTTTCATAAGGGACCCGATTCATTTGGGGGTAATATTTTCCCATTTCAGATTATGTGTCATTTTAAGGAATATGGTAGAATTCTTTGTCAGAGATTTCTCCATATAGTGTACCTACAGTACTAAATTGACAGTGCTGGTATTAAAAAGAAATAAGCAAACAAATTCTAAAGTGGGAAAACAGAGCAAAAGAACTATTGGCAAACTGTATGTATATAATGACTGCCATCCCATGATGCCTATCATTTGTTTGCATACCAAGTATATGGAATTTGGAGGGCAAAACAATAGGTTTCCAATTCGAAGAAGATTGAAATTCTTTTATTTTGCCCTCCAAATTAAGCTCCTTTGACACATGCAAGGGATCTATTACCTTATAAGTATCACTACTTTACCTGGAGAATATAAAGCCTTGAGCTTCCCCCAAACTTCATGACATACCCCACTCTCAGTCGATAGTACCTCCTTGGTTCTATTCGTACTTTATTAACAACAGTACCGTGAGTGCTACCTAGATCATACAGGTAGTACCCTTTGTCACTTTTCCCAGTTTCACTTGCTTTATACTGAATAATTGCGTGGTACCGCGAGATAGAAGGATGTTCCATGACAAGGTCACAGTTTGGTAATCTTCCAAACAAATAGTAAGGTTTCTCAGTCAGATATTTAGTAGATTTGATACATCCACCTTTGAGGAGTTCTAAATAATAGGGTTCATCAGGTATGCCACTCCATGATGGCTCCTTGTACGGAATTTCTGGAAACGTTTCTTTTTTATCTTCTAATTTTTTCTTACTCTCAATGGCATCTTTCTCGCTTTTGACATCAGTACCTTGAGACGGGGGAGCCATTTTCGCTGTTCCTTCACCATCTTTTTCAGACTTTGGATCTCGATTCTCCGGCTCATTACTATTGACTTTATTTTTAACGCTCTTAGGAAGCTCTGGAGGCAACATTTCTGTTCTAATTTCTTCATTTTGTTCGCATTTTTCTTCCACGACCTTTTCTTCTTCGTCGGCCATTTTGAATTTAGCGCAAACCCGCTGGTTAATATGAACGCAGACTCACTCACTAATACCGCTGGTTATGATTTCCGTATCACGGGCTCATGTGACGGCCATTTTGTTTTTTCGGGAGCAAAAGTCAGATGATGTGGAATATTTTCCACGTTTAAAGAAAAATAATGGACGATGAAGCTGCACTAAAAGAAAGCGTGTCCAATCTTCGTGATGCCATTTTACTCGGGAGGGCAGACATCGTCAGGAGCATTCTTTCTACTGCAGCTGAATGTAAGCTCTTTCATTCTCAGCTGTTCTCTTCGCTCTCTTCGCCGGCTTTCGAAAAGTCAAAGTATTTCTCCTTCCTATGCTACTTTACAAAGAGTGCTTGCTTTTCTTTGTATTTGAATAGTATTTTTATTCCATTTTTACATTAGATTTCATTATCTTGTTCTTATATTTTTAGAAAACCTTGAGGAAAAAGGACAAAAAAAAGAACATTATGCATTGTTTACAAAAATGCTTCGATAATATCGAGATATTTTTGTTGTTATGAATAGCGCATTCTGTCTTTGTTAGTGATTTATATGACAGTGGAAAATCAAACCAATAGCTTACGTTGCTAGCAAAACGCGCAAGGAGATCATGTGTGTTTATTTTTAGCCATATTTTACGTTAAAAAAAATTGTGAAATGCTGTTAAAAACATCTATTCATTCATTCCAACCTTGGTTCATTTCGCGTAAATATATTTCCCTCAATATTAAATATTTTGTTCTATTTTCATTTTACTGTTTCCATTCCCACTTTTTCATTGAAGTCAGAACTTTAAATCAATATAATTTACATTCTTCTTTATGGAAAGGTAAAGTAAGGAAGGGAACTTAGGAATGGAATGGAAAGAAAGGGAAAAGAAAGGAATGGAATGGGAGAGAAAAATAAAAAGAAAGGAGGAGGAATAATTATAAGAAAGGGAAGCAGAGAAAGTGAAAGGAAAGAAAATGCTTCAACCTTTAAGCAATAATACACTTGTTATAAAGGAATAAGAATAATTCAATGATTTTCAAAATAAAGTACATATAAATCCCAGTTCTTGTTGTTTTCTCCAGTTAGGGAAGAAGGTGAACTATTTGGAGATGATGAGGAGGATGACCCTATGGCAAGACAAAGATATTTTGAAGAATATACAGATCCTTATGACATATTGAAGATTATTTTAAACTACGTTGACAGTGATGCTGGGACATGTCTTCATTTAGCAACCAAGGTTAATACCAAAAATATTCTGTAAAAATGGGACTGTGGGGCATATTTTTGAGCAAGGGGGAAGGGGAGGGCTAATGTAGTGGGGCTCAGGGGAATACCACAACTTGCTTTAAAAATTATGAAAGTGGGGCTAAGAGGCTCTTTCCTGGGCTGCCTTATATTTGTAGTGCAGTATATATCAAATGTTGATCTTTGTCATTATCCTCCAGAGTGGTAGCTATAATGGAATACATCCAATTATCTTGAATACCTTATTATATGTTTCAAATTACCCATTATATTGAGATCCTGTGGAGATCTTGAGATCCTGTGGACTTCTATTCACTGCTTATTTTACCCTGGAATCTTAAACCAAGTTATTTTTAATCTTTTTTGAGGTTACAAGGAGGTTTAAGATTATGGGACTACATTTAAAATGATGTCATTGTCTGTTTATGTTACAGTTAGGTTTTGCCGATGGTGTCAGAGCTCTGCTTTCAGCAGGAGCAGACCCTACCATTACTAACCACGAAGGGGCAACAGCATTTGATTACTGTACTGATAAGAATATACTTGGGATTTATAATGAAGAATTATTACAAGCTGCCGCTGGGGGGAAGTAAGTCAGCATTTATTCATTATATTCAAGGCTTTTAGAAAATACCTGAATAATTCAAACCTTTACCTGAATAAATTAAACTTAATCATGGATTTCAAACAGTGTGAAATTTATAAATGTATGAATTGCACTCACTGTGGTACCTCTATTAAGTGGACACCTGCAGGACATTGTCTGGTATCCACTTAAAAAGGGTATCTACTGAATAAAGGTCTGTAAGTACCATGGTACCTCTATGAATAAAGGTTTGTTTTACTGTAAATACAGTGTGACCTCTATTAAGCGGAGACCTTCAGGACCTTGCCTGGCGTCTACTTAATAAAGAGTGTGCTCTGAATATGGGTTTGTTTCACAGTACATATAAGAAAAGAATTAGAACGACCCAACTAGCTGTCCCTTTAAGGATGTCTGCTTAATAACGAGTCCCCTCACTGTAATTGAGCTATCACTACACCATATTTAAGCTTCTTTTTTTTTGTCAGTGTTCCAAGGGTGTCTCGGCTTCTCAAGTGTGGAGTGAGTCCAAATGCTTCTGATGGTGCCGAAAGTGACAATAAGGTTCTACATTGGGTTGCAAGTTATGGGACAGAGGAGATGGTCAGACTCTTGTGTGGTAAGGAAAAAGACTTTTAGCTAGTACAAATCAAACATAATATTCACTTATTCATTTATTAAATAATAATAATAATAATAATAATAATAATAGATCCTTTTAGCTTGGGTATAATGTTTTCCCATTTTGAACCAATACCACTTGCCATTCCTATATGTATTATTTCTTTGTTTAATGGTTGCACATAAGAAGATACATAAAAAATCTAGTTACAACTCTGACAACCAAGGAATTGTATTCTCAAGAGAATGACAAATGTATGGTCTGAAATAGGAAAATATGAAATCGTTTAATGATTTTCACAGAGAATAATGCTGAAGTAAACATACAAAATGCCAATGGAGAGACACCACTGCACGATGCTGTCAAAAGAGGAGACTGTCAAGTTGTCCAAATACTTCTAGAGTTTGGTGCGAACCCAAATATTAAGGCAACAGATGGGTAAGTAGAAAACTAGATTGAGTGGTAATGCACTTGCATGACTGCAGACATTAATTTGATCTTTGTATTTCAGTGGCATCAAAGGTAAAACTCCAGTAGATCTGGCTTCTGATGAAGTAATGAGGTCTGTCTTTTTGAGGTCTGCCAGTATAAAAGACAGAAAAATTGTCCAGAATGGAGTCTTACTTGGAAATGATAAAGATTTCTCAGATGCAGGTAAAATTTTGTTTTTGACCAGAAAATTAAATTATGTGATTAATAATTATGTCATCAGGGTTCTAATAGGAGAAGATCATGGTAGTTAAAGCTGGAGAATTTTGCTTATTTACCAGAGCATTCTCTGCTCTCTGACCCTTAACGAATAGTTCTTTGTTTCTTTCAGATTCTTTTGTTTCTGAATCAGCAACATCCATAGAAACAGCCTCGCTACTACCATCTCTCTCTCCTTCGATGCGTGCAAGACAGCTGTCAACTGAATCCAGTGCTTCTAAAGATCCATTATTTGGTACTTTGTGGCCATCACCACAGCGAGTGCTAGAGATTAGAGGTGGACATTATAAACCCTCTTCCACTCTTCCTGTTTACATCCACAGACCCAGTACAGGTAATATTTGTAAGGTCATGTACTACTGCTAGAGCAGTTTTTGCATGACTACTGATAAGCTCATTGCATGAGCGTGAAATGTGACATTGTTAAGCATACTCCAGGCCAATCACAGCAGGAGAATTTACTCTCTACCTAATCAAATACCCAAAACAGGGCATCAACATGACACAGATACGGTCATGCCAAGATTACAGCACTGCCAGACCAATCACATTGAGCCAGAAAAATTTCAGCTTATCAAAATTCTAGAAAACATCTTGGTCATGACAATAGCGCAGCGCCACCATGACGTCATAAAAACGAAGACAAAGGCGAAATTCGGACAAACAAACTTACAAGTTTACTTTCAGCAGATAATTTTCACAGCCGATCACAGTTGATTTTAGCTTACATGGGTTATTATTGTAACTTTAAGTAAAAATAATAAAATTGGTTCGTATAATTCTCATAGCGGTTAAACAGAATGTAATGTTTGTCTGAATCTTTAAGCTATTTTTAGAAGTAGTGTGCTGCGCTATTAATGTGCCCACACATATAGCACCAAGCTTTTCACCATCATATGAAAACTGCTGCCACAATTTCTTGCACACTTTCACACTTTAAAGTCACTGGAACATCATTTGTTTCAGTGTTACATAATGTGTACTAAGTATTTGCACTTCACTGGCTCATTGCTCGACACTCAAGTTAATTTGTTGACTTAGATTTTAAATGAATATAAATGCACTTCAATCTGTTTTGAAGGCTGTCTACAAGAGCTGTGTACCATGTGGGAAACAATGGAGCCACATTTCAAACAAGCTGGATATGAAATAGATATGACCATTATTGCAGAAGGTGTGTAGAAAGACTTATTTTTTCTTGCTGTAAGAGTGGAGGGACAACAGTCGAGAATCCACCCCATCCCTGAGTATTTTATGTGACTTACTCATGCAGCAGCCATGTTGACTGTAACAATGAATTCCTCCATGTGTTGTCTCAATTATATTAATGCACAAAGGTATCTATTCTCATGACAATATACATGTTTGAAGTATGGCTAAAGGCCCATCAATTTTAATGGTAAATTCTTTTTTCAGATGGTGAATGGACTCCATTGCCATCTGGAAGCATTGATTGCAAGATTTGTCCCAATTTATTTACCAGACCTGAAGGTTATAAAATCAATGTATCAACAGCCAAGGTGACTACTTTCAATAAGTCAAACTCAGCTTTAAACCAACCAGTTTTCATTGGGCTCCCTGTGGTTTGTCCTTTCCACCACAGCCATCCCAGTGCAGTGGTTCGTGAGGGGGTAGTTAGTTTCAGGGTTGGAAATATTGGCTGGTCAACTGAAATTGGCACTTATCCATCCCAACACCTCATAGGCTGGTGCTCTTGACCAGTCACATTGACTGGTCACATGTTGGTCAGTCTGATGTGGTTAGTCATCATGTACGACCAATGAACATCCATTATTATAAGCATATTTCATCAAAATGGTCAACATATTTATTTGAAAACTCAGATCTATATTAATTTTGTGTTAATTTAAGATGTCCATCATGGCCAGTGAATCGGTCTCCTTGTGGTATGCACTTAACACTGTTCTACAGTTATTACGGTCGTGTAAAGACAAAGGTGTTCCAACATCACAGGTCAGTACTGGGTTGTATTTTAGCTCTTAGATCATTTTGTAGCAGCTATACTTTACTTTAATATTCTTTATATATTTATATATTTTAATTTAATAATGGTATTGATAACTGTGTTGTGATGGAAAATGGAGTCCAAAAATAAAGTTTGAAACCATTTAACACTAACTATACTTGGTTCTTGTCGAAAGTAATATAAGTTGTACATTTCCCACTCGTAGGGAAACTCTGTATCACCTAAGTGTTTGAGGTTAATTTATTGTCTTCATGATTCTTAGATAAGTGATTGGCCGGATGTTAAATACCGTGGTGTTCTAATTGATGTATCAACTGGAAGGGTTCCAAAACTGGTAAGGAGCTTGGTTGTAATATTTTCCTATGTCAGACCACCTGCCATTCCCTAGAGTATTATTTCTTTGTTTAATGGTTGTGCATGAGAAGACACATRAATATGGATACAACTCAARCAAAGAATCTTATTCTCAAGARAATGACACGTGGTCTGAAATGGGGAAACGTTACACCCAAGCCAAAAAGCTCTGTTTCCATTTTTTACTGAACTGTTGAAGCGGTTTCTTTCCTTTCTGTCTAGGAAACTCTCTTGTCTTTGGTAGATGTATTATCAAGTGTCAAGATTAATCAACTTCAGCTTTACATGCAAAATACATTTGCTTACCGTGGACATGATAGCRTGCATAGGAACAACACACCATACACACAAGGGTAGGAAGTACTTCTTCTGTGGACCAAGTTTGCCTTTGTTTCTTGAATCATCCTGGTGACCAAAGACAGATTGAAGGGGGGAGGGGTGTGTAAGGTGTGTGCTAGCTGCCCCTGTTTTGTAGTATTAAAAGTAAAAATAAAGAGTACTGTAAAATCTAAAGAGGAAGCTATATACTTGCTTTTTAGGTAACACCCACTCCTTTGAAATTATCCTGGATCTATCATTGGTGACCTCGTTTTATCTCAGCCAAAGTGAATCAGCCGATCAGGGAACGTTTTGTATATTGTAATCCACAATCTTTCAGTAGGCCTTTTGATTTTCTTTTCCTAGTGACATCATCAAACTAGACAAGTATTGTAAAGCAAGGTATATTGAATTAGTACCTCATGTTGAGAGCTTGTCTGGCTTTAGTCAGTGGTAAGTCAGCATTTGTATATTCTTTACTTTGTTATTTAATGGAAGTATGTCACCACGCATCTCTTCTCACCTGCAGTCAATCCTTTTTTGGTGTTTTAAGGGTTTTCCTCGAGTTCTCTAGTTTTCTTCCCCCCGCAAACATCAGGTTTTTTTTACTCCTGAGCCACTGGCTGTGAACTGCTACCATCACAAAATGAGGATGACTTTATGTTTCAAAATATAGTTTTTATTATTTCATTATTATACACCTCATGCATAATGGAAGAAATGCGATATTAATAATAAGTCCTATATTTCATTTCAATTTTTTTCCAGGATAAAGTTCAAACAATATGCGCATTTAGCAGAGATCCCTATAGACCTAGAGGTAATAGATGAAAAGTAAGTATTTGCCAAGACATAGTTCATTATAAGATTAAGGCCTTTGGGGTAGGGGGCTGGGGAGAGGGGAAAAGGAAGGAGAGCCTGATACTCGTGTTAGGATTGTGTCAGAAATGATTTTCAAAGGGTCCCAAGCATGCATTGCATTATGGGTACCAATCATTAAGAGGTCCTTGTCAACACAAGTGAAGTGAGTCCTGGGACACATTTGGGTCCTTGGCAAGCATCAGTCTAACAAAGGTCAAATGAGTCCCGGATGCATCAAAATTGGGAAAATGTATTTTTACTCCTTTATAATTGCCTAGAAATGCAATGCATGATTTTTTTTGTGTTAACGTGAAGCCTAACCTAAGTCCTCTCTTATTTTTTTTCAGAGTTCACAGTTGTCTTTGCCCATCTAGTCAAGAGAGTATCAATTTCGTTCTCGATCTTCACAACCAGACATTCCCATGCTTTTCCTCCTCCAGGTATTTTATTCTATCGCTTAACACGACTAAGAAAATTCTATAGGTCCATACAGTCAAATATTTATAGTCCCATACATTAGTAAATCATTCTTAGAGGCCAAACACTGAGGGTGATCACTGCCAGGGTTTCCTTACGTCATTTTACGTTATTATCCAAACTACACGAAATTCTAACCATTTATAGATGTAATTACAGAAGCAGCAATTTCTTCTCAGATTTTAAGTAAGACCCTGAGTGTTGGTCTGGCCAGTAATTGATCCCACGCCCTTCCCGCTTAACCTGACCGAGCCAATCAGGTGACGGCATCGTAGTATCAAAATACGCCGACAGAATTCAAACATTCAAATCCAGCTGCCACAGACCAGAAAGGGAGTAGCCTTTGTACAGCCGCTTTTCACCCCCTCCCCTCCCCCCCTTGAGGAGAGGAGTGGGAAGCGACTGCACACAGGCTAGGCCGGAGAGCAGAGAGAGAGAGGGCTCGTCCTCTTTTATCCGGCACAGTCTAGTGGCTGTATGATAGGGTAGTTTTTTTTATTTGCCGGTATCGACCATAGAATATTAACTCATTATTTCTTTACGTCGTAGATTCGCTCATGTGGGAGTTGATGTTACTGATGAATTCGGTAGAGGAAAATCCTATGTTATCGCTGAGGTAAATTAAAGGTCTCTTCTCTTCTCTTCTCTTCATTTCTCTTCCCTTCCCTTCCCTTCCCTTCCCTTCTCTTCTCTTCTCTTTTCCTTTCTTTTCCACCCAGCAATACATGATAATTATTCATTTTCGTAAATCGTTTTCATGTAAACGCCAACCTAACTCGTGTTTTTATTTCAGGCCAAAGGAAAAGAAGGCCTGTACATGGAGTACCTTCAACGTATGTATAAATCCTGTCGATCCCATGGTCGTACCATGCAGTTTTGGGCTAACCCGTTGCACGAACATCCTCAGTTGCATAGTAATCTACCCACAGATGTAATCGCCATGGAATACGGTGGAAGGGTAAGTGAGTCCCCACGGCCATTTCTATACCATGCAGTTTTGGGTTAACCCATTACGCGAATTCCTCAGTTGCATAGTTCTACCAACAGATCTACCATCTGTTTCTGGTCGTCCTGTGTATTTCAAGAGATTTTCTATGGATTATCTGGTTTTTCACCAACCGTAAGAAATTTAAACCTTTCTTGTCCGCTGTAATATGCTGTAGTGGTGCCCTCGCTATTACGAACTTAAATTTGTGACCAAAAGCAGAAAAAATCATAGAAAAATTGCTAAGGTCGACAAGGAGTATCTACAGGTTGATAATGATTCAAAAAAGCTGCTAAAATATTGCACTTTTCTTCTTCAGGTCGATTGTGATTTAGGAATTTCCTTATATTTTTCTTCTTGTGTTTGCTAAAATATTTCAATTATCTAATTCTCTTCTACAGGTTGATTATGATTTCATGAAACACTGTAGATTGCTGTCAGACGCCGGGTATGTTATAAAACCGTACATTGATACCTCTATTAAGAGGACAACCCTTATTAAACGACCAGTTAGTTGCGCGGTAAATTTTTCTAAAATTATTCCACAATTTTCCTAAATTATTTGATTTGAAACAAATATTTTATTTATTGAACGGACACCCTTTTTTAAGCGAACACCAGGCAAGGTCCCGAAGGTTTTTGCTTGACAGAAGTAACCCACTGTAGTGAATCAATACAGCAAGTATACGAAAATATTGAAACCCTTTTTCTTGTGCCCGTTAGAGACTAGTTAGAGACCCAACCTAATAGCAACCATGTTTTTCGGGTACCTCCTTCAATCGTTTAAAAAATCTTCCCAATCCTCATTTTGACCTTTCAAGGCCCCCCTGTTCCACTAAAAAAAGAGGTACCCCCATTTCCTCCTCCACCCACCCCCTCCCCCCTCCGACTTAAATAATGACTGATACCTTAATAGCTTGGAAAGTTTCCAAAACTTGATTGATATTTTCATTTCTTGTCAGAGTTGGTTTCTTTGTCTGTCCTGGCACCTTGACATGGAACAGGTAAGGACATTACGAATTTTTTCTCCTCATTGATATATTTAGTTTTTGAATCACCCTTCTTAACTATCTTTTTCTTTTAGCGCATGTGCTAATACAGACGACAGCTTGACACTAATCAACAACGCCGTACAGACGGCTGTTACGTGTGATGCTCTAGGCATGCTCGTCTGCGATTGGTCTCTACCTGGTCACGTGAATCCTCTGTGTATGAGTGTCCCAGCATTCTTATCAGGTGCTGGTTTGTCGTGGAAGGCAGATACAGACATGGTGAGTTAATAAATTGACCAGAGTGTTAAAATAGCGTTGCGTGGATTTCAAACAAGTAGACCTTAAGGAAACTAGGGTGCTGTAAGGATTGTACCCTCGGCTCTCACCCCTGAAGTCTCTGGTTCGATTTCCTGCCTCCACTAAACCCAACACGGGAGATGAGGCGGTAAGCCGTGTGGGATGGGCTCGGAAATCATATAAGAACATGCGTAATAGGTAAATTACGAGCCTTGTATGAAACGACTGAAGAAGAGGACCAATTGGCCTTTCACAACTTCAACCTAACATGCTAAATTCTAATTCCATCTGTGAGTAAGCCGCGTCCTGACATTGATCAGCCCAGAGGTTGTTTAGGGTTCGAAATTTGAAAGTGGATGGTTTTAAAAAAAGCGTGGCTTGATGTTGAGGGTAGGGATGGTTCGTGTTGAGGGTAGGGGTGGTGCGTGTTGAGGGAAGGGGTGGTGCGTGTTGAGGGTAGGGGTGGTGCGTGTTGAGGGAAGGGGTGGTCAGTTGTGAGGGCGGGGTTTAATTGAAATAAAGAAGACGAAGGGTTTTAAAATGTCTTTGATGTATTTTTACTTCCTTTTTTATAGACTGTAGTCCAGTCTTCCCTGCCAGACATCATCAGCAGACATGCTTTCCTTGATGCTTCGGGAAAAATCGGGCTCGCTCTTAACGACCTTGGTAAAGTTCATTCCTTTCTAGTAAAAATTGAGGCCGAACAGGCAAGTCATGCCCCTCAGGAGACCCGTGGGGTTCATCCTGTGGCATATTCACACGAGGGGACCCTACTGTGGAGACTTTTGCACGATGGCGGAGATACAGAGTTGACATCCATAGGCCTCGATACTCTACAGGTAAGAATGATTTAAGATCGTTCAATTAAGACGCTAGAAAAAAAGACGTCAATCGCAGAAGGTATCTAATAGCTAACCCATCCGCCTTCTTAAAAGTATCTTGAATGCGAAGCTAACATGAAAATACAGAAGAAATGCAATAAAATCCATCGAAAAAAGTGTGATTTCTTTTGTGTTTCGTGTAAAATTCGCATCCAAATACTTTTGGGAAGGGATCATTTCATAAACTGGATTGTATACACCAATCGCAGTCAATTATGAAGTGCAAAATGGACCAATCACATTCGTTGACCTATTAAATATCGACCAATCAAATGTCATCTTTATCAATTCAAAACCGACCAATCACACTCTCCGAAGGTTTAGAAATGCAGGCCTGACATTCAAGAACTTCTGGTAGAAACAATGGAATTGAATATCATCATTGGCTCAATATATTTTTATTTCCTTTCTTTTTCACATTTACAGCAAGCTACACGTCACATTCGTCAATGCCAAAACACTTACCAATCTGCAGAACCCAAATGTGCCCAGAACAGTGAAATCCTGAAAGAGCTAGACATCACTATCGATATCTTAGTGTACCTTTGCAAGTATGTAATCATTGAAATGGAGGGGATGGAAAGATACAGGAATTCTGGAGATTTTTTTCTTCGTCAACTGAATTTTATATTTTCATTTTGGGGCGCATTCTTGTTTTTTTTGTTTGTTTTTTTTTTGCACCATGGTTTGCACGCGTGGTCCCCCTCCCAGGTTTCCTTTTACACTCAAAATTGGAAGAAGTGTACTTGGAAACTACCGCGCGAAGATTAGGGGTAGTGTTCGTGGCGTTATCCCGCGTTTCTTTCTTTTAAGTAATCTGAGTCCTTTTTTGTCAGGATATGTCGAGTCATCTTACTGGCCAAGAAACAAAACATAAATGTAAAGACCCTAAAAGATGTGCCAATCATTAACAGGACAGACCTTGCTAATAGGTAGGTCAACAGACGCTTGCTAACTTGCAGTTTTTGGGGTGGGGTAAAGAAAGGAGCTCATACGCATGCGCAGTGGTTTGCAATCAAAAGCCCTTTCTCTAAAGCAGTCATCTGCAAATGGTCATGCGCCGTACGACTGTCGGTGGAATGGAGTCRATAAAGCCTTTGCTCACTCAAGTCGTCATGCACGTTCAACAAGAGTTCAGCGCTACTGCTCTAAGCGCTAAACAAGGGGTCAAAAAGTGGGATCATGGGTAGTAAAAATTGCTATATTTTAATTGTATTTTTCTTATCGAGCACAATTTTCATTAAATATTCAAGAGCAAATTGGAATCCAAATCAAATATACCAAAATATATCAATTTTTGACCCCTTGAGCAGGTGAACTCTCGATGCACGTGTACAGGGGAAAGCAAATCGAGGAAATCTGTTTTCATGAATACAAAGTTCATTTTTGTCTTGTTATCTTTTTCAGGCTGCTAGGACTGATTGGACAGTATCAAAAAGTTTACTTGCTACGAAACAAGCAAGGTGGATTATTATCAGCTAAGAAGCAACTACAGAAGATATTACTACGACTATTACCTCAAGAAAATGAAATACATACCTGAACTATTCATTGTCTGTCTTCCCCGACGTATAACGAAGTTTTAGGGGGGTACCAGTTTATTCCAAAGAAAGAGCGATGGCAAATTCATGGAAGGAAAAAGATTTCCGCTTCTAACACGGTATTCCATTCGTTACCATTTCGAGTCGGGAAGAGAAATCCAGAAAAATTCAAGTATTGAATTGTAACTTGGATAGAATACAAGGAACAAATGCGTCAAAATAATAGTTGATCAATAATATACACTATAGTTGATTAATAGTATACACTATAGTTGATTAATAGTATACACTATAGTTGATTAATAGTATACACTATAGTTGATTAATAGTATACACTATATTTGAAAATTAAAGTTCCAGTTATCGTTTATAGAGTTGTTAATTGGAATTGCTTGGATTACACTTCGATTGCCCAAAAATTACTTGATTCAGGAAGAAAAATTTGGGACTCCTTTGATGGTTTGTAGTTCATATTTTTGCTCACAGAGTTGCTCACAGTAGACCAATATCGTACCCGGAGAATCTCTGCGTACGAGATTGAAAATAAACCCCATTTACCTTTGTATGCAAATTGCCCATTCACCATGGTCACATGGTCTGAAATGTGCACAACAAACAACGAACTAAATAGGTTTAAAAATCAACCACACCCTAAATCCATCGTTTGATGTAGGTTCTTAAATTCGGCGTAAAACCCAGATTCTTAAAGCCGGCGGCGCAATTGATATCAACAGGGGAGAGCGCGGGTGAATTATAAACCCGGGATAGGTTTTTAATTACTTTTCCTTATACTTGCCCGAGAGAACGCAAGGTATGAAAACAGTACTATTTTTATTTCTATCGGAACAATAGAGTGCAAACGCGGATATATTGTACTCTATTTCCAAAAGAACAAAGCAACAGTAATCTATCTCTCTGAATTCATTATAATTTAGTATTTCGTGTTTTGCATCGAAACAATGGAATTTAGGGCTTAGTTGATATTTTAAACCAGTTCAAACGCACGGGCTCGGTTTTGCATTAGGCGGCCCTCTGTCTTGAATTCTAATGCAAAACCTCGTCCTAGCGTTTGAACCTTTATCTATTGACCCGAGAAGTAAAAGATGCTTTTTCTTCGTGATGAAAGCAAAAAGGGACACATTATGGAAGCGAATTAACATTGGGCGAATTCACCTGCTCTTCTGATTGGCTAACACGACAAAAAAACAAACAAAAAAAAAGGACCAAAAAAAGACTAGTTTGCATTTGGAGTCGTTCTCTTTGCGGAGTTTAAGGGAAATATAGGCTTTACTGAAAATACATAGAAAATAATATCCCAAATTAAGCTAAAAGACGATTTATTTGATTATGAGAAACCAAGAGAACATGGGCTCTTGGAGTAACACATAAGAAATGACGAGGAAAATGGATGAAAGAAAGGCAAAAACTACAGGGACTCCGCTGGGTTTTTTTGGATAAAGGGAAAAATGCAGGGAATTGACTGGATTTACTATAAGTCTGTAAGAATTCAATAATAAGATCAATAATAAATTGAGCGTGTTGGAAAGAAATCTGCCAGCACAACAAAATATAAAGCGTTTTTTTTCTCTCTCCGAGGTTAGATGAAAGGACGACAAAAATTAGAGGGATTTTTGCGAGAAGCTTGCAGGATTTCTGAATTGTTAAAACCTGTTCTAGATTCATACTTATCCTTTTATACCAAAAATTCTGCGTGGGGGAGGGGGGAGGAAAGTGAATTTTTGCATTGAACATACGGATGGGGGAAGTTTAACAGCCGCCATCTTGGATTCAGTAAGGACCTGGAAACGAGTCGATCTTGGCGTCAAAAATCACACCTAGTTTCCCGCCATACGGTAATCATATTTACATCTACTGAATAGTTAATTTAAGAGGTCTAACGCTACTTGACCAACCCAATCTTCTTGGCTTCTGTCTCGTAGATCAGCAGTCTCCACATTTTGACCACGAAGACTTCTGCTTCTTCATCGAGTACCTGGGAAGTGTTGAGAGTGATTAGTACTACGACATTGTTGTAGTTTTATGCGACTGTAGTCTTTACGCTTTTATACAAGATTCATCATCAAGTAACTTCCTTGACGTGGGAAATACACACGGCACTAAACTCCAGTTTCTAGTTCGATTTTGTGAAGAAAATTCATGGGATTTGAAAGCGTTTGCATTGCTGAAGTTGTGCATTCTTTACTATACCGTTGATATTTGTGAATATTTAGGCACTGATTCTATGCTAACCCTGAGGAAATAAGTCTGTAATCAAGGAACCAGCGGTAATTTGGAACTCGAAAATGGTCTATTTCATGATTGCGCGCAAACGTATGTCGGATTCATTAACCACTATTATCAGTGTCAAATCTTACCATAGACACATCATCAAGTATACTTTTAGGTGAACTACCGGCTAGAACCTGGAAAAGATGATAATAAAATCCATCATCAATTGCCAAAACCTTAGTTACCAATAATGTTTAGCTTACGAAATAACAGGGCAATAGAGTTGCGCAATCACGTGACGTCACCTGGAATGCAATGGAAGACTGGAAACGAAATTGTGCCGTATTGGATTGTGGGGCTGAATTTGATACCTAAGGTCGTGAAGGTTATTTTGAACATGCCCAAATTCGGGTCACAATCATATACCACATGCCGGCGAATGTATTTCAATGTTTCAATTTTGATCTCTCTTGACATTGGAATTGAATGCGGTCACGTGATCGCCCAAACCCTATACTCTATGTCTACTAAGATATCGTCTTACTCACCTTCCCGCATATAAATTCTGTTAGAGTTGGTTCCTCTTCGCCGATATATTCAATGATCTTCTTGTTGATCCAGGGTCGTATTCTATGATCTACTAAAGTCTAAAAGAATAATTGTCGCAAAACCCATCAGCTATGCGCCCAATAAAAGCCAACAAAAATACTTATCGTAGCAGGTTTATCAGCACTGGTCATATAGTCCCAAGTAGGGGGTTATCAGGGAGAACTCGTCTGTTCTCGCTATGCTCTTCTCCACGGGGGGAGGGAAGGATGCGCAGAGCTAAGTTTTGTTCTCTAGGGTGTTTCGAAGGGAGGTAGTAATTTTTAGACAGATGTTTAGCACACTATCTGCGGGTTTAAATAGAATACAGAGTACTAGAACTACGTGGTGATACTTACGAAAAAACAGTGAAGATGGCAAGTAAGCTCCTTCCGCGACACGACAGGCCAGCACTAGCTTCATATATACTAGTTTTACATACATACACTACTCGTACTAACAGTCGCTATAACTAAGGTATACTGAAGGTATATAGTTTGCTGGTCAAATACTTACTCCCACTTGACACTTTAACTTCAACAATTATCCAAACGAATCCAGCAGATTTGATTGCCAGTTAATCGACGGAAACCCAGCAAGATGACAGAGTTCTCTTAGAGGTTAATAATAAGCAATAGAAACAACACAACAATAGCGACGTACCTGGTCGACGATACTCCATTCCAAGTTATACGCAAAGAGTTCCTCTTTTGCGGTAGGAATACGCTCAATAAGTGACTTTATATTACGTTTCTTATCTTCAGCGCTTTGCAGTTCTGCTGCCTCGCTGTCTTCCTCGTAGTCCAGTGGAACCAGTTTTCGCTTGCCGTTGGTCGACTCTGTACTCTCCTCGTCCTGGTTACCAAAGACGGCTTCTAGTTTCTTACGATCAGCTGGGGTTGAAGCAGGCTGATGTGCGGTAAAAGTTAGAAAACTAAAATTAGGCAAAACTAACAAAATATCAGAAATTCGCTAAATAGGTTACTGTTTTAGATCTTCCAGTTTCCCGCGTGCGAAGTATCCACCTAGAGTAGCATTGTACTGGCTGTGTGCGTCTAGTGGTAGTATAAAACTTTTTCATATTGGATGTAGTGTTTTCCCATTTCAGACCACGTGTCATTCGCTAGATTATCATTTCTTTGTTTAATCGTTGTGCATGAAAAAAGAAAACATAAATATGGATACAACTCAGACAAAGAATCTTATTCCCGAGAGAAAGGCACGTGGTCTGAAATGGGAAAAGATTACGCCCACGCTAAAAAGGTCTGGGGAAAAAAAAGGTGCACATGACACCATATAGAGCGTTTTCATTCACGTGAGAAGGCAGCCATAAATAATAGAAACTTTCTGCACAGTATTTGCATAAAAATAGAGTTCAATTCCCGCAGGATAGAAAATGTATTGTTTTGGTACCCCATAATGGCCGCTGTGACGTCACGTGAAAACGCTCTATAAGCCATGATGAATAAAAAGATGTTTGTACCTAAACTAGACCACATAACACTTGGCTAATGATCTCAGTCTCTGTTACCCACATCTTGTCTCATTCACTTACCAGGTTAGTCGGTAATTTCATTTCGAATCCAAAGGTCTTCTTCACAGGAGGTTCTGATGTTTCTACTCCATTTTCTCGGGCTCTTTTAGGGGGTGGTCCAGCAGCCACTGGTTCAGGTTCAGGTTCAGGACTGGGTGACCGCACTGCGGGAGCAGCTTCCACCTAAATAAGCACAAGACAGGTCAAGACACATCAATACTAAGTATGGTCGTACAAGTGTGGAAAGTAGAATCGTTTTTGTATGAGTTGCAAACAAAAGATGAATAACTTATGGTTGATGAAAATACGTTATACATACATGTACATGTGTGGCGGGTTTAAAGGTCGGCATCAGGGCGGGCTTATAACCATCTTCCTCCATGGGTTCTTCTTTTTCACTTGTTTCTCTCTCCTCCTAGAATGAAATATATATAAAATATTAGAAAGCAAAAGACAGACGACAGACAGGCTGACATACAGACAGGAAGACAGATAGGCAGGGAGACAGCAGACAGACAGACAGACAAAGAAAAGAAAACAAGGAAAGGGTTTCTTACCGTCATGTCGTCATCTGGCTGTTGGTCCACTATTCGCTTTCGTATTTCTTCTATTTCTTCGAGTTCTCGTTGTCTATCTCTGTCGTCGGATTCTATTTCTAACTCTCGATCTTTTCGACGTCTTAGCAACGAACTACCCCTATAAATAACATAGAAATATGTTGGTGGTGATGAGGTTGTCAAAAAATAGTAGAATATTATAACGTTAGTGTTGGTGGTGATAATACAGAAGATATGATGATGGTGAGCAGCAGTAGCAGGAGGAGGAGGAGGAGGTGGTTAGGAGGAGGATAAGAAGGGGAAGGAGTAGGAGGAGGAGTATGGAGTTGAAAATGATAAGGGTTTAAGTAGAAGATAGATGAAGATGTGATGACGAAGGTGGTGCCTCTTACTTGAAATATTTCTGGTCATCCCGTTCATCGTCATAGTCTTCAAGGAATTCCAGTAAGTGTTTTCGTTCTCTTGCCTGGGAGGACAGTAAAACACACACAGTTACTACGTGTTTGTACGATTCTTGGGTAAATATCGACCTCTAAGAAGCGACCACCCTTAAACGATACTTTATGCCCTTAAAAAAATACAATTTCGATTTTTATTACCATCACCTCTCAACAAAATGCCATTTAGTCGAGCATGTGCAGCAAGAGTGACAGCGCACTGGGTTGATGAGTACTTTACATCACCTCTATAACGCGACCACTATAGAGACTAAGTCGAGTGGTCGGTATCTAAAGGCTTAATTCAATTCAATGCACATCTACAGGTCTTACCTGTTCATCTTTCTTTTCTTGTTCTTTTTCGTATTCTCTTTCGTATTCACGTAATCTTTTTCTTTCTCTTGCTTCCCACACTTTTAAGCGCTAAAAAGATATTTAAAAAGTAATGAATTCATTGTAATATTTCATAGATGCGTGCAAAGGCCTACTGGGTAATTTTAAGACTCATGGATACTATTGCGCAAATTTCATCATTTTTTCAAATTTTCATCATGGTTCCAAATCAAAAAACAAAAAACATAGCAACGTTTTTTGGGCTGCCTGCCAATAGGAGCCCTAGCAAAAAAGAAAAGAGCAATCAAAATAATAAGAATGTTAAAAGTACCTCTTGGTAAGCTAAATCCCTTTCGCGCATTTTTCTTTCGAGCCGTCTTTTTTCAAACGAATCAGACTCCTCATGATCCCGATCACGACTTTTGTCACGACTTCTAGCACGATCAGGCTCTGTTTTCTCGCGATTTCTGTCCCGATCCCGATCACGATCCTGATCACGATCGCGGTCACGATTGCGATCCCGACTTCGGCCACTATCTCTGTCACGATCTTTGTCACGATCACGGTCACGATCACGGTCTCTGTCACGGTCACGCTCGCTTTCCCGGGAAGATTTTTCTAGTCTATCTTCGCTTCGTTCCCGCTTGCGGTCTCTGCTCCTCTCCCGGTCTGAATCTCTTTCTCTATCCCGCTTTTCTTCTTCTCTCTTTTTGTCTTCCTTCTATGGAAAAGGTCAATGAAATAAGCGAAGTGTACGACACACCACAATGTGAAGCGTTTGAAATAATAATACTAAAGGGAATGATGTGGTCTGAAATGGGAAAACATTGGGAGAATGACAAGCTTTAATAGCTATTCTAGAGTTACAGAAATGTGTGGTAATATGGGGCTGGTGTGAGGAACATTTCATCAGTTAGTTGACATTCTATGCATCAAGAAACGAAAGAAATTTGAAAAATAACACGACAATCAAGGTTTCCTATATCACTTTCCTATCATTTTTGACTATAAGCAAGCAAAAAGACGCCATATAAGTATTAGAGTGCTTTGTAAAACAACCCCATGATGCAACACGTTCTGTAACTCCAGACAGAAGTGCTAATGGGGAAGTGTGTGTTTTGGGGGGGGGGGGGGTGGACCAGGAAAAGGTAAAAAAAGCTCAAATGAAGTAAAAGGTAACCCTACTTACTCGGTACGAATCCCTAAAGATCTTGATTTCTCTTGACACTAAAGATTTCTTGCTTTGGTCCATATCCAAACCCTCTAGATTTTCCTAAATATATCAGAAAAAAAATAAAAGGAATTACTCCTTTTTTTTAACTTGTGGATTTTGTTTTTCTTTTGTTCTTTTTGCTTGGTTTGTTTGTTTGTTTTGTTTATTCTAATTCACAAAAACAGAAAAATATAGCATAGAGTAGTTTCAAATGACTGTGAAAAGCTTAAGACACGAACATGGTCATGACACTCAAGGTATACGCCAAAGCAATCACAGTGTGAGAGAATTCACTTCTTATCCAATCAGATTCCTAAATGCCCAACTAAAATCCTAGAAAACATCAGGGTCACGGCGTATGTCACTGAGCTTTTCACAGTCATACGAAAACTGCTCTTCATAAAACCCTGGCACTGAGTCCCAAGAGGAATATTGTTCTGGAGGACAAAACAATGGATTGTTTTTGCATAAGAAAAGACAGTCTATTGCTTTGTCCCCCAGAACAATTCCTCTCGGGACTCAGTGCAAGGGGTCTATAATAGTTAAAAATAAATTGATACCTCTCTGCCACTATGGGATGGACGTAGTATATCAGTAACTATGGAAATATAAGAAAACATTAGTCAGAGCAGGCTTTCATGTACTTCACAATAATGGGTTTAAGGCAAACAGATGTCATACAAGTGTCCAATTTTCTCAGCAGTCCTAGTGCATTTAACTTTAATATGTCTTTGGTCCTTGTCTTAGCTACTCTGATCATGTGCAACAGACTTCCCAATCAACTTACAGCTATCAAATTTTCCATTTAATACATCAGCATTGTCATTTAGCAGTCCCATCAAAGCTTTTCTGCATTTTTGATCTTCTGCCTACAAGAAACAAGAGAGAAACTTTCAAACCCTTTATTAATGCCTCAAACAAGTCATATACACATTTTAAGATATAATTTTATAATGGGAGTTTAACCATGTTTTTTATAACTTACTAGTGTTTCGTCATCAAGGTCATCTTCTTCATCTTCAGCTTCACCATCCTCCTTCTGTAGTCATATCAGACATAACAGTGCAATGAGTATACAAGAAAAACATGAAGCACTATTGACATGTAACATGCTAATCTCTTGAGCAAAGATGCTTTCCCAGCATAGGAGGCTTTTTTCAGAGTTTTCGTTTCAGTTAGTGAAAAATGTAAAATTATTCTATCCTTCCTTCCTAGATTATCATAACAAATCGGAATTTATAGGTACGAGTGATGTTTTGAAAGTTTTCAAAATGGACTAGCCTTTAGGCAAGTAATTTCAAAACATCACAAGTATCTATAAATGTGTGTGATTTTTTGTTTATAATACACTCAACAAACTTGAGCAACTTAATTGGGACTCTACAGATACAATTTGGGTTTTAATTGTACTCCTCTTGTCCAATCACAATTGAGTAATTTTGTTGAGTGTATTAAAATAAACCTAATCTCATCATTTAATTTATCTAGAATGATTCTGAATTCAGATTCAAATGGAAGATTCCCTTCATGTTGACATTTATCTGCTACATACCTTATCACTGCCGCCACTACTACTGCTACTGTTACCACTGGCTTTCATTTTTTCTTTCTTGCTTGCCTTGTATTCATCAAGCAATACTTTTGTCTTGGCATCTACTTTTACCTTATATTAAAAAAAAAACGACACAAACATTATTTTTATTGCATAATTATGTGACCAACACAACCCTATATGTATAGTACGGGAATTGACATCCATCAATCAAAAATACAGACCATCTCACATCTTATTGAGGAGGAAAAATACAAAATAAATGTAATTTTTATTTCATAATTGTGTGATAAGCACAACCCTATATGTATCAACGTTTGGAAAAAGAACCTTTGCTTTGGCTGCACTGGCATTCTGGAACAATCTCCCAGATGCAATTAAGTACTCAATTTCAGTTCCAGAGTTTAAACCTGCACTAAAACACTACCTGTTCACCAGGAGTAACTGACTTTTTTTTCAATTTTTTTCAATTTTTTTTATATCCGTCTGGATAAAAAGCATGGAAACGTCACATGATGTGTTTGTTAAGAACTTTATATTATTATTATCATATGAGATTTTGTATTCCATCAATCAAAAAATATCATCTCGGACAATTGGAAATTTGATTGATAGACGTCAATTACCCAGATGTTGCAAATTAGAGCTGTAGTAAATATCTGGGATACATAATATGTAGATGTAAGTAAGAATGATGTTAGTAAGAATGGCCTATTGTGATAGATGCAAATTTAAAAGCTTCAAATCATTAATGTTAGAATTGTTTGACTAGACTACAACATTCAGTATACACCTATTTCAAAAGGTGTTGTCAGTTGGAGGTCTGAAATCTGAGACCTAGTAACAAGCATGAAAGTCCTGTTTAGTCTCAGATCTTCCATTTCAGATCTCAGACTGACAGTGTTTTCGAAATATGTGTATATGATCTGTAAAGATTATATATATAACCAATAACACTGTACTTACAACAAGGTTTTTTTCTCCCACTTGAAGTTTGTGTAACAGTCGTATAGCTCGTAAACTTGCCTCAGGATCAGAGTACTCACAAAAACCAAATGCTAATATCAGAATGAACCGAGAGAAAAAATAACATCAGAACACTGTGATTCCTGCTATCATGTCTTTAGGGAATCAGGGGGGGTGTAGTGGTAGTGTTCCCCTCTAGGTGTCTCTCACCTCTGGGGTCATGGGCTCAATTCCTAGACTCAGCATTACATGTGAGTAGAGTTAGGTCTCTTTCTTGATTTGAGGGTATTTCTTTGGGGTTTTCATATTTTTTCCTCTTCCACAAAACCTAGCATTGTAAATTCCAATTTGATCTGTGGGTTAGCTGTGCCCTGACTTAGATCAGCCCAGAGTTTGTTTCAGGGTTCAATAAAATTAAGACTCCAATAGCACAGAAGAATAAGTGCAGGCTCTGGTTAACCAATAATCCTTACCTTGTAACTTTCCATTTGCTCCTTGTACTCGTTTCCAACTCACAACAATCCCACATTTCTAGGAAAAATATAATAGACAACTTTGTATTTCACGATGGTCACAAAATCTGTCACTGGATTTTTCAAATAAGAACTTTTTTCCTGCCGTAAACTTCTTCAACAATTTAAAAAATGACTTCTTAATTTTACAAGTCAAAAGGAGTACAAGTCAAAACAAAAGGAGATTAAGGATCCATGGTCATGGCCCCACTGCAACAGAAGTTTACTGCATTACCAAACATTTAGCAAGGCTCAAGAAAATGGTTCAATGCTGTAGTATTGATTACTTACCATAAGAATTTGTCTAATCATAGCATCGGATGCTCTATCTGTTATATTTCCAACAAATACTGTAGTAGTGGGATTTGAAGGAGTCGACGACTAGTAAAATAAATTAGTAAAAATAAACATTGAGGTCAATCTTTATGTCTTAATGTATTGATATCATCAGGGTCCCCGTACAAGAGAGCAGATGAATATTGAGAAGGGGGCCATACTGATTTGTGGGACAGATTTCAGATTTGAGAGGAAAACAAATATAAAAAATGGCTGTCATAACTTGGCTTGTAATTAAAAATAAATAAGTGATATCTTTGGGTTGATTAATGTACCAACAGATAACACTTCACCCCTTCCCTATATACCCCAATATATACAATACACACTCCTTGATCCCTGAGTAAGGCAAACTTACTTTATTTTCTTTGTTTTGATTATTAGAATTTGGTGTACCTCCCTTTGGAACTGGAGGTCTGACAATAGTAGATGGGGTACTAGAACTCTGCAAAACAGAAAATAATAATATGATGGTTACAGTTAATTCAAGTCACACATGACCAGTAAGTCTGGGAATATAAATGTAGCTTTGAAGATTTCATGTTTAAATTTTGAATCTACAATCAACTTACTACTCTAATATTCCCAAAAAAAAATCAGTAAAAATAGGTTTTGAACCCACCATCATGAATGATTGTGAAATATTTTCCAAAAAAATTAATTTTCCAACCACATCCCTGAGAATAAGCTTTAAAATATTTTTTTAAGTTAAAAGTAATTTCAAGTGCCAGAGTTTTGAGCATAGTGAGAGCCTAGACTTGGGAGTACAGACAAAGCTGCTGAAAGTCCAATCAAAACATGAGAGATACTGGTCAATTAGCTGTAACTTTATTTGAAGTTGGAAACCCTACATGAGGCCAAATGAAAGAATAAGAAGTGTGTTTCCGGTTGCATTAGAAAAATAATTGGGGTCGGTACCGATACAACAGTGGAAATGAGCTTACTGGRAACCCTGTGGTGCATTTGRGAATGAAAAAAATATTAGGGTCAGCAAAAATTGGCAAGGAAATTAGGGTCGGTCGCGCAACAAGAAACACACTTATTTTTTGATTGGACTGATCAAAACAACCACTTCAATGAACTTACTGTACTCATAGGTGCTGCTGGAATCCCTGGCATAGCTGTGCCTGGTGGAGGAATTGGAGGAGGGAGTATACCTGTTAAGACAGAAATAGACCTAGGTTATTCAATCCCAACACAGTACTAAGCTAACTTCCATATTCAATAGACCTCCTCGGCTTGGCTGTAATTTTGACCAAAGGTTTAGGATTCTTTCGATTTTACTTTTTTTTCTTGCATAAAAGAAGTGTGAAGGTGTCATTAATTAGCTCTGTACACTAATATAACTGAAGTTAGATCTGTGTGCCTAGTGACAAACATGTAAGCCATGGATTGGATAGAAAGAAGTGTGAAGGTGTCAGCAGCTTAATTGCTCTGTACACCATTATAGCTGAAGTTGGACCCACCATGGATTGTATCTTCAGGAACAGAATCAACATTTTGACTTAAATGTGGATAATGATATGAAGTGATGCTATCCATCAAAGCCCAGTAATGCTTTGCATATTTGAGCATGTAATGGTTTTTTCCAAAGACATATACGCGTATACACTTATACATTATAAATTATTCATTCAATACTTGTAAATATTGTATTCTTATAACCACATTAACCTGCCTCGACTAGCCATAGCTATTTGCAGGTTATGTGTAATTGTATCTCGTATTGACTTCTTGAATAAAGTAAAGTAAAGTAAAGTATAGTAAAGTATATACCCAAATGAAATAGTATGTTCATATTACTGGGCTTATATACTCAGTGAAATCACTGCTGATCTATAAATTGAGGAATTCAATAGATTTAATTTTATAGTCTTAAGTATACGACAAAAAAAACAAGCTTGTGTCATCTTTAATAGCTTCTCTCAGCACGTGTCATCCGTTCTTTCGAATTTTTTTTACCAATTCATCGACGATTTTACACTGAATAAAAGCGTAATAAYGATAAACATTATCAGGCATACATGCATTGGAGTTATTTCAACAAGTTTTAGTGGTTTTACCTGGTGCTTGTGGTGGTAAAGGTGGTGGAACAGGGAATCCCATACCAGGGTAACTTGGTGGTACAGGAGGTGGTGGTATAGATAGTGAAACATTAGTTATAGTTGGAGGAATTCCTGGCGGCATATTCCCTGAAATAGATAGTACAGGCATTGGAGGAGGTAATAGCCGTTGTTGCTGTGGCGGACGGTAAGCCATGGTTGAATATTAAGCAACGACTTCTGATTTAAAAGTTCTTGAAGGACTACACAATTTTCAAAATGGCGGACATCTGATATACGTAAAGAAACAGCCTCGACTTGATGGAGCAAATTCACCTGAGTGGGGTACGACAGTGAGTTTTTGCTCCACAGCGATTTTTTTTCTTCTTTAATTTCTTTAGTTCTTTCTCTAGCTTTTCTTTGCACAAAAAAAAAAAAAAAGAACAAAAAAAG